CCTGGACAACTCACAATACAACTTTCAGTGCCCCCTTTATTTAACAGGGACGTGTAGATGTCGACTTGACAGTAGATCTTTTTAATGCAAGTTGCTTTTTTACTAGGATTACTAAGAACTGTGCAGATCACAGATAGGTCCCCTTCAAACAGTTTGCTGTAGAACAATTATAACAATGACAAATACTTCTGCTTTAGTGCCCTCTAGTGCTCTGTAATCCAGCTGCAGGGCACAAACAGGCAATGAGAGAACCTTCTGCTCTCAATAGGAATTATACACCTATGCTGTTCTATATACGGTAGTACTGTAAATTGACAGTCCTGTTCATGGTTTAATCTGTGACCATGTGTGCTTATTAGTATGAGGAGAATTCTGATACCCTCAGGATTGGCAAACTCCAGTCACCCACTGCCTGGCTTCACCAGAACACTGCATCTTTACAACTCAAAAACACACAAATGTGCAGCAGCTCCCAACTCCTAGCCCCTCATATAGCGCTTCCTTGTTCCATCTTTTGACCACTGGCCAAATTACTTGACCGAATTACCCTCCATGCCACTCCTGCCATAAGACAAAGTACAGTTAGGGGGACAGGACTCCCATCACACTACAGAAGTCCTTTCCTCATGGCCACCAATAACTACATTCTAATGGCTTATAAATTATGCTTATTATTATGGCTTATGCAACGTTTAAGCCACAGGAGGCTATAGAAGAACAATACTTTGTCTGGGAGAGCCTAAAATGCTGATGACCTAGAGACCAAGCATGATAAGTAGGAGCTCAGACATTTCACTGGATGCTCATTCTAGGTACCGTAATAAATCCAGGATAACAGCCCCAGAGCCTGTACCTATTTAGCAGTGGCAGCTCTAGCACCTCTATGCTCTATCCTAAAGGGATTGCTTTAGAGGTAACATGAAGGTCACATAAGATGTACTTGTTTAGGCTATTGGAGTTGATCTGACATTCCTTTCATCCCGTTTAATTAAATTTCTTGAGATCTGTCAGCAAATGGCAATAGATATAATATAATATAGTTTTCCATCTAGCCAGACCCAGAGACTGTCATCTCATATACTGGCACCTTTAAACTGATCTTTGGAAGATGCCCACTCTGAGGAAACAGGTTCCGAATTTGTTCAAATTGCAAACTAACTAGGATATAATTCTTTTTACAGTAATAAAATTCTGCTGTACAGAGCAGAAAATCAAAACTGATGTACAGTATTTACATGATAAAGCTCTGGTGTTATTAATTATGAATGGTAATATTCAGTTATATTTGGTACATTTAGGAATGTATACAGCTTTTTTTTTTAAACAATTAGCTGAGCTGTCTTGAACTAATTCCTGAGGTAGCCTATTCCATATTTTCACAGCACTAACTGTGAAGAAGCCTTTAGTTTTGTGGAGATTGAACCTCTTGTGCCCCCTTGTACTTTGGAATGACCTTAAAGTGAACATTAATAGCTTTTTAATACAAGAAAATATTTGCTTGCTTTAGAAACTGCAGCTTGACATCACATGCTATTTTTAAGTCTATGATCTATCAGAACTCTCTGATACTTCTCAATTATTGACTCCCCCAGTTGTATCTCCCAGAGTGACACGTGCATGTTTCAATTCCACAAGTGCTGTTCTGCTCTTGCTGCACTGACTTAGCAGCTTTGGGTATCAGCCGCTTCACCTGATGGTTAATATACCTTCCTTCCTGCTACTTCCTGTCCAGCCTCCCTATTAAAATCCCACTCAGACCAAGTTTCTGGTTGCTTGAGCAACACTTGTTCCTGAGCCCCTTCCGTGCAATTATTCCTAATCTGACTTGTGGACTGATCTCTTGTGTACCGACTCGGCTAGTTCTCCCGTTTACATTTGTCTGCTGCCCGCCCAGACCGTGGCTCGTTATCCGGCTCTCTTTTTGCTCCATCCATCCATCGTGCACTGTGACTTTGGGTACTCTCCTTGCGAGCAGGGTGAACCTGGGGGTCATGACCTGGGGTCAGCATGCAGCTAAGTCCAAACTCCGTGAGGGGGTCCCTGCCAGAACACCGGCTGGCCCTTAGATTCCACGCCCTGGGGGATCCCGTGTCACCTGCTTGCCTGTGGGCTCACATCAGTAGTAGCGTGACAACTTGGGCCTATTAGCATTTGTTTGCTGTGTTGCCCAACCTCAGTTAGACTGCTTTTGGATGCTCCAAATGTTTCTGAATCCTGTGTCCCTAAGGGGACAAAAAACAAAATGGGATTCTTGTAATCACCATAAAATCCTTTTCTTGGAGTTAATTGAGGCACACAGTTCCTATCCCTCTGTGTTTTATAGTCTTACGCTCAGTGCTGCTTTGTTACAAACCTGAGGCATGCTGGGAGTGGTTAAACCAGGCTGGTCACTCTTGCCAGTGTCCAAATCCTCCTGCAGGTGGCAGTATAGCCCAATTGTCCAGTGTCCCTCAATGAACTCCAAGAGAAGGATTTTATGATGAGTACAAGAATCCAATTGTCTCTCGTGCTAACTGCCTTGTAGGATGTGTTGGATCCCGGATGTCAATGATAATCATCTTGTGACAGGTGTAAGGTAGTTAATGCACCTATAAAAAAACTGTTTGTGAATGAGACATTTAGGGGCTTATATATTGTTAAAGAGCACCAGCATGACTTCCATAATCTATAAATAACTAGTCAAAGGATCGTTTACTGCAGTTCCCTGTGCCTTGTAATTGTTACGAGGACAATTATTATTAAATAAATAAAAGGGTTCATGTTTAATAAAATCACATTACGTAAAGTGATATTAAAGTAAAAATGTTTTTAAGCTACAGTATTTCAAATGCAGATTACATCACTTAAAATGGATACTGCTCCTTGATGCTTAAAAGTTAGTTTCCTGCAGAATCAGCTGGTCCCCCTGAGCCTTGCACTGATATCCTGTTTTAGGGTGTCTCCTTTCCCTTGCAGGATCCTATGGATCCATCCTTGTGTGTGCGTGTCTCTCCACACATACTAATATTTAAGTGGAGAAATCACAGGCACTCCAAAATGCAAACATTTTGCGGCACTGTTATGGACTCGGTTCCAAATTTAGATCTGCTTTCATTGCTGCACCCACCCATCATTAGCTGGGATACGTTTCCAGTCAGGAGTGCGAAGGGATATGAACAGTCCACATACACACAGGCGCAGCAAAGCAAGCACCTGAAATATAGGTGTGAATGGGCAGTGGCGTAACTAGTGACCTCAGGGCCCCATGCAAGAATCCCATGAAGGGCCCCACCTGGGCCACCTCCAAGTGGCCGAACTCCAGAGCCCGGTCGCGGCCGTGACCTCTGTGACCCTGGTAGTTCCGCCACTGTGAATGTGGTGACACCGTGATGTCACCACACTTCTAGTCCATTGACACTACCTCTTGCCCATGTTGCTTAATGTCCATACCTTAGTACAGACCTAGATGGGAGAAAGTCTACAGAAGCCAAAGCATTGCACCCACGATCTACTATGCTTTACTGGCTTCTATGCAAAAAATAAATAAGTGTGCATTTATTATTTTTTTGCAAAAGGTGGCATTTCCATTTGACGACTTCATGACCGCCGTACTGCATGCAAATGAAAACACATTCATAGGGCATGCATATCTAAGTATACGACGTCTGTGGCACACATGTTGGGTATCACCGTGACCGTCGGAGTGAGAGCAATTATTTAAGGCCATAATGTGCTGTTTACCCTAAACTGATGGAGCACTATAGGCTTTTAAAATGTCGCCTATGGGCAATTTTGAGAACCATTGCTTTTCACCAATGCATGGGACACACAATTTTACCGCTTGACATGTTTGGTATCTTTTTACCCCATTTTTTATATATTACCAAAAAAAGGTATTTTATTGTGTTTGTGTGCACTAAAATTCATTTACCTTTTTTTTCTCTTAAAAATATATACAACATTTGCACAAATATCATGTAACAAAACAAATGCAGCTACCATTTTTATTTTATTTTTCAGGCCTCGGCTTTCAGAAAATATATACTTGTTTGGGGATTTAAGGTCATTTTCTATGCAAAAATCCAGTGTGTACTATGCGTGTGCAAAAATTACAAAATGTATCCGGTACCAAGGTGGTTAAAGAAGAGTTCCAGGTATTTAAAAAAAACATACTTTTGCAGTGGGGCTACCACCCACACTGCAAGGGTTAACTGCTGTTTTTTTTTAATCTAGGGGGGGTTAAATAAAGCAGATTTACTTACCCAATCCTTGGTCCCGCAGCATTCCGTGCTCACTTCTCTCCCTTCAATTTCTGAATTGAGAAAGCTGGTTGGATGACCAGTGAAAAGTCTTCAAGAAAAATACAGCACGTCCAGTTGCCTTGACTTATTTTTTACAGATATACCATGACCGGCATGAATGAGAACCTTCACAGACATATCACTTCTCTCCCCTTCCACACTGGCTGTGGAATGTCCCTGGACGTCCACGCGTCTAATGCAAGTAGATGGACCTACATTAGATGTCCTTAGACCACCGGAGCCCAGGGGGAAGAGGCTGCGGGGAGCGGTCTAGCAGCCCTGAGGAACCAGGTGAGTATATCTATTATATTTACCTCCCCTAGGCAAAACAAGCAGTTAGCCCTTACAGTGCAGGGGTAACCCCAAGGCAAGGGAATGTTTTTAAAATTCCTAGAGTACTTCTATAAGCCTGTGTGACAACCATGGCTAGATACAATGGAGAAATGAGTGTAGCCATGAAGAGACGGGAAGTGTGTTATTCACAGGATTACCAGATGAAAATAAAGGGAAAAAGAAAGCTAATGCAGCCACCACATCTAAGGGCTGGTGAGTGGTAATATATTCATTTTTGGTTTTGGATTAGGATATGCTATACAGCTATAATGCAATTTAAAATGGATGTTTTTTTCCTTCTAAGATTGTGACATAGGCCTCCCGAGTATTTTTTTGGGACATTCATACGTTCTCCACTTGATGTGGTTGCTGCACGTCTTCTTCTGATATCAGAACATATAGCATCTCCAAAGTGTGTGGTTTAAGTCCAACTCGAGCAGTTGCAGCTGCTGTAGGAATCCACGGTTAGGAGCAATACAGCGGTATTGACAGACATGGCGAATGGCATCTGCCAGATTGAAGTGATGGTAAATCATTAGGTAGGCAAGGACCATTGTAGCTGAACGGCTTTTACCCAGAACACAGTGCACAAGAATTTTTCCTACAAAAAAAGGTTTAAAACATTAGAGCTTTATCAATGTATCAATATTATCACACAGCAGGGCAGTGCAAAGCAGGAGCAGAAGGATTTCAGCTTGATTTCATAAATCCCCATTTTGCTGGTAAAAAGATACTATAACCACTTCTTAAAGTACAGATGTAACAATACATGCATTAGGCTGTCTATAAAGGATTTTTATCATTTTCTATCTAGTTTTGAGATGTATACAGCTCTACAATATAGATGCATACTGCATCTATGACAACAGCATAGCTTCATAGTAGAAGAGTCAGGTTGCTTAACTGGCCTGCCGGCAGTCCAGACCTTTCACCAAATGAAAGTATTTGGTGCATCTTGAAACGAAAAATACGATAAAGAAGACCCAGGACTGTTGAGCAATAAGAATGCTATATCAGGTAAGAATGGGACAACATTCCTCTGGTCTCCTCAGTTCCCAGAAGTTTACAGGGTGTTGTTAAAAGAAGAGGGGATGCTACATTGTGGTATATATGGCCCTGTCCCAACTTTTGTGAGACGTGTTGCTGCCATCAATTTCAAAATTACCTTTTTTTTTCTTTCTTAAAATGGAAAATTTACTCAGTTCAAACATTTGATATATTTTCTATTGTGAATAGAATTTGTGTTTATAAAATTTGCAAATCATTACATTCTGTTTTTATGTAGATTTTACACAGCGTCCCAACTTTTTTGGAATTGGGGTTGTACAATTAAGCTCATGAAGGTGACCGTAACATTACTATGGACCTATTTACTTATCCATCTTTTCTTTGTTTTGTTTTTCCTTGAGAAAGTGCTGTGCGGCCTAGCACAAAATACATCAGAATAAGAGCTTGCACCTGTTGGCTGTATAATAATCCCCCCATTCACCCTCTGCAGCAGGTGTGCTGCAGGGTGCATTGCTGTAAAGCAGCCTATTCATTTGAATGGGCTGCCTATCATAGCTAAATTGTGTGCACTTTTTTAAAATCATATTGCACCATATTGCATGGTAAAAGGTTACCATACGATGTGGTGCGATTCAGCACATACAGTATGAGATGGCTAGGTGCATTGCGGAGCCATTAGGAAATAATGCAGCGCACCTAACATTGCAACATACAATGTGGGATCACATGCGGCATCGCATGTGCTCCCGCATTGGAGAGATGTGAATAAAGGCCAAATATTATTTTACATCTCATTGTGCAATATTACTGTTGCTGGTACTATTCATCTATTTTTTTGTGTTGATTACTTATGTGGTTTCAGTGTGGTCTATATTTACAGTATATAGAACCGCCTGCCTCATCCGGGTGACATGCCACCCTGGGGTGGCTTCTTCCCTCCAAGCCTTCAAGTTCTTGCACAGCATAATGCCTTTACATGGTGCAGGCAGGCTTCTCATGTGAAAGGCAGCTCTTGATGTGAAGGGGGAACACTGATGTGAATGGGTACTTTCATATGAAAGGGGGGCTCTGATGTGAAGGTGGGCCTTCTGATGTAAAGACGGATCCCGATGTAAAAGGGGCTCTTTGTAAAGGGGGCTTGTGATGTTAAAAGAGGGGGCTCTGTTGTAATGGTGGGGCTCCTAACATGAGAGGGGACTCTGATGTGTAAAGTGGGCCTCCTGATTTAAGGGGGAGTCTGATGTGAAAGGGGCCTCGAGAATTTGCATACTTTATTTTTGCCATGACTGAAAAAGGGCTGAGAAACGCGTGTGTGTGTGTATATATATATATATAAAGCAATATGTATAGGGCTGTTAAATACTCACCACCAGGTGTACTCAGGGCATTGTGAATAAACTTTGCCCCTGGGCGTAGGAACACACTAATATCAAACTCCGGACAATCTTCTGCAGTGATGCCATAGTATTGGATATACGGACCGTACTCCATAGTATCTGTGCACTCCCACGAGGCATGGGCTACGTTCAGGATGTGGGTGATGCCCATCTTCCTCAGTTGTTTTTTGTCCCTTGCAATGTTTCTGCCACATATAGAAAAGAAAGTATATGAATGCATTGCATAAAATACCCAACATCTAAGAACTTGCCTTGCGTATTCACTCAACTACTAAGTCAGGGTAACTAATAATAATAATAATAATAACTACTAAGTCATGGTATCACTTTCAGCTAGCACTGGTAGAGCAGGTGCATGAAATACAGAACACGTCTTCACTACTGGGAAATGCATTGGTGAAATCTTTTCAGAAAACAGTCTCTGCTTCAGCATACTAGTTTGTCAACACTAATACTTCATTTAAATGCTTGATGAAAAAAAAGTAAATAAAAAAAAAGTAAAGAGAATTGCTAATGAACGCATACTGCCTGACAAGGTAATAAGCTGACAAGGCTGTGTTTTTTTTTAATGGAATCTTACTATTATTAGCAGATGGGGATGAAAAATGACAAAATGGATTTTATATAGAATTAGTTAGCTGGCTATGACCTGTATTATGCTTTGGCATTGCCACTTACACATCTCCCAGGAAAAGGTTGGGAAAGACTTGGTCCACGTGATGCGTACCCCCTTTGTAGCTGTCTAGAAGTGCTTCCAGCTCATAGACAGGAGGGGGACCTCTGAATAGCTTCCTCATTTTAGGCACCCAAGTAAAAGCAGCAGCAGCCGCAGTAGAAGGAGATTCTTGGATGTGACAGTTGTGTTGTATATATCAGTCTATCTCTATGAGGAGACACTTGATGCCATGTAACAGCTGACGGACTGTCACCGAATGCTGCTGGAAGGGGACTGGATGGGGGTTGGGAGAGTTTAGACACAGAGTGATTGTCCCCACAGTATTAGGAGTGTTCTGCCAGTGACTAAGAATGCTGATATAACCAGAGAAAAATAACTGAAACAAAGGGCCTTTACAATATTATAACCAGGGCCATTAACATTCAAGAATGCATAGGATATGAAGTGGGTGTCTTGCTCATTGTCAAATAGTGGTTCTGCATGAAGAACAACCTGAAACTGGTCAAAAGATTTACAAATTCTGAAAAGCAGTACAATTGACAGAAATAGATTAGAATATCCTGTTTTGCACTTTGGAAGAGTTATATTTTTTTCTTCAACAATCTTCCTTAGTAATCCACTGCTATTTAAGGAATAATGGGTCCAGAGGCGGCTCTAGAGTTTGCGAGGCCTTAGGCAAAACCTAAACATGAGGCCCCACTCAGGCCTGTGGGGTCTTACCAGGGCTCTGTGGGGTTTAACCAGGCTGGTGAGACCCCACAGAACCCTGCTACCCTGGTGAGGCCCCCTCAGAGCCCTGGTGAGACCCCACAAACCAGGCATCGGTGCTGTCTCACCAGGGCTCTGAGGGGGCCTCACCAGGGGAGCAAGGTTCTGTGGGTTCTCACCAGCCTGGTTAGCCCCCTTCAGGGCCCTGGTGAGACCCCACAAACCAGGCATCGGTGCTGTCTCACCAGGGCTCTGAGGGGGCCTCACCAGGGGAGCAAGGTTCTGTGGGTTCTCACCAGCCTGGTTAGCCCCCTTCAGGGCCCTGGTGAGACCCCACAAACCAGGCATCGGTGCTGTCTCACCAGGGCTCTGAGGGGGCCTCACCAGGGGAGCAAGGTTCTGTGGGTTCTCACCAGCCTGGTTAGCCCCCTTCAGGGCCCTGGTGAGACCCCACAAACCAGGCATCGGTGCTGTCTCACCAGGGCTCTGAGGGGGCCTCACCAGGGGAGCAAGGTTCTGTGGGTTCTCACCAGCCTGGTTAGCCCCCTTCAGGGCCCTGGTGAGACCCCACAAACCAGGCATCGGTGCTGTCTCACCAGGGCTCTGAGGGGGCCTCACCAGGGGAGCAAGGTTCTGTGGGTTCTCACCAGCCTGGTTAGCCCCCTTCAGGGCCCTGGTGAGACCCCACAAACCAGGCATCGGTGCTGTCTCACCAGGGCTCTGAGGGGGCCTCACCAGGGGAGCAAGGTTCTGTGGGTTCTCACCAGCCTGGTTAGCCCCCTTCAGGGCCCTGGTGAGACCCCACAAACCAGGCATCGGTGCTGTCTCACCAGGGCTCTGAGGGGGCCTCACCAGGGGAGCAAGGTTCTGTGGGTTCTCACCAGCCTGGTTAGCCCCCTTCAGGGCCCTGGTGAGACCCCACAAACCAGGCATCGGTGCTGTCTCACCAGGGCTCTGAGGGGGCCTCACCAGGGGAGCAAGGTTCTGTGGGTTCTCACCAGCCTGGTTAGCCCCCTTCAGGGCCCTGGTGAGACCCCACAAACCAGGCATCGGTGCTGTCTCACCAGGGCTCTGAGGGGGCCTCACCAGGGGAGCAAGGTTCTGTGGGTTCTCACCAGCCTGGTTAGCCCCCTTCAGGGCCCTGGTGAGACCCCACAAACCAGGCATCGGTGCTGTCTCACCAGGGCTCTGAGGGGGCCTCACCAGGGGAGCAAGGTTCTGTGGGTTCTCACCAGCCTGGTTAGCCCCCTTCAGGGCCCTGGTGAGACCCCACAAACCAGGCATCTGTGCTGTCTCACCAGGGCTCTGAGGGGGCCTCACCAGGGTAGCAGGGTTCTGTGTAAACCAGGGCTCTCCACAGTGCTCTCACCTGCTTTCCACAAGGCTCTCCAGGCTGCCACTCCAGTACTGTGTGTGCTGTGCTGGCCGTGTCTTGAGGGCGTCTCCATCAGCTTCTGCAGTTAAACTCCGCCCTCCCAGCCAGAGATCCTCGTGTGGTGGATGGGAGGGGTGAGGTCTCTTCTTATTGGCTGGTGGGCGGAGCTCCGTGCGGAAGACGAGCCGATGATCCGCACCAACGATCGAGGTAACGGATGAGCTCTCAGCCCTGTCACTGTCAAACTGAGAGTCTCAGTTTGACAGCTACGTGGATGAGAGCTGACAACGCTACCTGGCTGCCGTCCTGACAGAGCAAACTAGACGGCCGCGAGGCCCTCGGGAGCGCGAGGCCTAAGGCGACCGCCTAATTTGCCTAATTAAAGAGCCGCCTCTGAATGGGTCTGACCTAAAGTGTATTTCCACTTCTGCAGCCAATTGGGACAACACCTATTTTGTATTTGTAACATGTTCCCATTATCATAGCATAACTTAAAAAAAATAAAATTGTTATTACTTGCCCTTTTCTGAAAGAAATGTTTTTCTCCAAACAAAATTTTCTACTGGAATGCAAGGGGACTGTGGAGGTAATGTTTCTGATAATTCACCCTGTCTGTATTGTGCTGGTAGATCTCATTATCAGTTGCAAACTAGATTTAAACTGTCTAGCCTAACAAAGGGTTAAAGATCTAGAAGCATTGTATGGTAATGAGATGAAGCTCAGAGTGTCCCTAGTCTTGGGGACAGACAGAGTTTCCTGAAATTGTACAGATAAGCGTGCAGTCTGCACAAAGGCCTGCTACACAAAGACATCTAAAAGGTTGTTTTTGAAAACGTATTTCTCGGTATGCTTAGTGATTGGAAACGCATAGTGGAGGTTTTCTCAAATTTGATTGATATATATACATATACACGTGGATTTACATAATTAAACCTCCCTGAAATTTTATGCGTCCTGAATTCACCCAAAAAACAAGGGGAAAACGGGCATGATGAAGAGACCCCAAGTGGCCCCGAAACATTGCTTTATGATGAGATATGTGTACATCAATAAAATCAACACTCGTTGAAGATTTTACTTTGGTGTGCTGGTGATATACTTTACTACATAGTTATACATTGTTCACATGAAGTCAATATAATACAGTATTATGCCTAGCCAAGTGGCGTAACACCCACAGTGGAGGGCCTGCAATGCGAAATGTTTGGCAAATGCCACACTGTCATTATAGTGAGAAGCCCTAGGAGGGAATAAGGGAGGTGGGAGACCATAAGAGCATGTGTGTGACTGTGCGCAAAATTGTTAGTAAAAGGGGCAAATAATAAATGAGGTTTGAGAGTCTAGAAAATAATGTAAGTGCCCCAATCAAAGAAAAGTTTCTGTTAACTAGAATAAATAAACAAAAAGGGAGTAAATAAGGAACAGTTCTGGTACAGAACCAGTGCATATGATTGAGTGTGCCATGGTCAGTAAGCCCCTAGGACCTGAAAGCTTTGAAGGGACATGGACCTGGAAGTGAGCTTTTAGATAAATGGTCAAAAGTCCAGACCAGTAGGTCAGTGTTCACAGCAGCGTTACTGTTCCATGAAAGTGGGACTAGATTGTGGCCTCATGAGTTTCATTTCAAGTTCTGGCGCTGAGCATAGGGTAGGTGTCATGGTCCTTGGAATACTTTATCTCCTGAGACTTCTGTGTCATTATACATATGGGACCAATCGCTGCTTGCCCTGTTTCGAGTCCTCATTTGCATGGCCTAGAGGACCTAGGTGAGGACTGGAGGATAGTTTGCAGTTGACCAATAGGAAGGTGGTCGGTTGGGCCACCTTCAAACTGTTGTTTTATATAAGTGTGTGTGCATCCAATAAAGGAGATTCCTGTTTGGACTTACATACAGCCTGCCCGGTGTTTGTTCTGAGCTATTACCACTGGATACGAACGGCACATAGCTGTAGATCGAATCGCGAATTATCAGACGACCTAAATATCAGATGCTGCAGTCTGAAATCTGAGGAGTGCCGGGAGAGTGGAACCGAGCGAGCAAGGGGCTCGTTACATTGGTGGCAGCGGTGGGATCTGCTCTCCAGTTACTGGGACACTCCAAACCACCACAGGGAATGACTAGCTATGCAGCCTGCAAGAGAGACACGCTGAAAGACCTACTTGAGAGCCGAGGAAGGACCGCTGGGACAAAGAACAAGGCCACCCTGATCAGTGAACTAGCCGAGATGGATCAGAGGGATGGTGATGCTGGACCCCGGTCAGTTGAAGTCTTGTTTCAGCAACGAGTTTGAGAGCGGTTGGCATTATATGGTGCCAACCCATCAGAGACCGCCATACAGAATGCCATTAGAGACATCCTGCTGCAGGATGAGCGACAAGAGAGAGTTTCATTTCAAGTTCTGGCGCTGAGCATAGGGTAGGATTTTAAAAGTAAAATACAGTAATTGTAGCACCATAAAGAAGATAGGGCAACAAGAGGAAGGGGAGAGAGGAAGGGAAGAGGGGTTTGTCTGAATAATGGGGGAGAGGTATGGGTAAAACACACATAGCAGCAAAAAGTCTTATCTGACCAAAATCATGAAGAAGTAGCCACAGGAATTGAAGCTATGGTGGTAGATCACTTAGCTGGGTCTGAGTCACATCTGGATGAAGGGAATTGAAGGTGGCGCTGAGTAGCTCCAACTGCTTGAGCAGACATAAAGGAGGCAAGTGAGTTCCCCGCTGTTGGAGAACAGCTCTGGCACTCAATGGCTTGATGGTCTGGAGTGGAAGTGGACTAAAGGTGGCCATACACTCTACAACCATCGCAAGACTTTAGTTGTACAGGGATTAAAAAAACGTACGATCTGCCTATCTTGGACAGGCAAATCGCACTCTCGATCATCGCAAGCCCGCCCCCCTGAGGGGCGGGCTTCCGATGACCGCAATGCTGAACGGGCAGTGTGCGCGTGCGCACACCGGCCCGTTCGGCATTTGTCTTCCGAGCACCGTTCTAACCAGCCGAGAATCGTACGATTCCCGGCTGGTTTTCGAACATGCTGGTTCGACAGAAGACGTGCGACCGTACAGTAGAAACGGTCGCACGTCTCCGTTCACACTGCTCGATTATCGTACGAAAAACCGATCGCATACGATTATCGTACGATAATCGTGCAG